ATAATTTAATAGTTATTTCTAAAAATAAACATTTTTTAATTGGTAAAATCATTAATATATTTTGTTGATTAAATTTATATAGTAGTATTATTTATATTATAGCGATACTTTATTGTAACCCAGTTATTGTAATTTTTATAAAATTAAACGCGTATGTAGAAAATATTCAATGTATGCTTTTAAAATTTTTGAGATTATTTAAACGTAGAACGATTGTGTGGTTAATAAAAATATTTAAACAGTACTTTTATTTAAAAATGAACTAATTTTTCATATTAAATTCTTCTATTTCTTATAAGACAGAATTATCGTCGGGTTTCCACTACACGTAAATGTCCATGGTAGAGGTGATTAAAGATTTTAACTGCTATGTTCGCGTTCGCCATAAAATCCTTATGAAACGCTAGAATAATTTGAGAGAGAGAGAGAGAGAGAGAGAGAGAGAGAGAGAGAGAAAGTCAACGAGGGAATAAATTTGTTGACATCCCCGACTTATCTCGCTACCTTTAGTGAGATGAACCGACCACCAGAACCGAGTTGAGGGTTATGCGAGATAATAGGAAGGACGCGGGTGGAGGGAAAGGGGTTTAGAGCCCACTATGATCCTAATGGCGAGGATGCAATTCAGAAAAGATCTTCCGGGAGGACGCGGGAGATCTTCGGTTCTGATGAAACCGCCGACTCACCCCCCTCTCTTCCTAGCTAATGGAAAAAGTTTGTCGCCCGGTCCAACGCTTTTCCAATCATAAAGTTTGAAAAATGGTCACGTCTTGTTATCCGTGGATTTTTTTACTATACAGAATTGACGATAGTAACAAAAGGTCTTGTCTCCTTAGAAAATTTTGTAAAGTTCTCGCCGGACACTTCAAGTTATTTTTTATTTTACAACTGATATTATTATAACGCATTATGTGCATTTTATTAGGAAATTTATTTTACATTTATTTTGTAAATTTATTTTGAATTTAAATACTCTCGTTATTTATATTTTGTTACTTTCATCAGACCCTTTAATCACTCAAATAGTACGATATTATATATGATTAAATAAAACTCGCTCTCTGAGTTGTTGAAGATTAAATTACATTATATAATAAGACGCGAATTTTGTATCCTGATTTTAATCGGTTTTTAATCAAACAATATTTTTTAATAAATTAAAAATTAATTACATCATTAAAATAACAAAAATAATAATGACTGAACAACGTAAATTTATCCTCTTCAATCCCGCCAAAATGTGCCGCGCATCATGGCTAAATAACTAAGATATAATGCACTTCTCTCTCTAAAGTTTTTGATCCGCAATGTCACGGCGAGCTTTACGAGTTTCATCGGCGCATTTTGTAGATAAGCTATTTCGAAGAAGAGTACAATCTGTGGCGTTATAATTTATGCATTTATAATTTATGCGCAAGTTACGACGCAATGGCTGAATGTGTCTCCCTGGTTGTCCGACGATTAAAAATAACCTGCATCGTGCAATCACTCGTGCAATGATGAGCGCGTTTCCCTTTCGACACGATGATTTGAATCAATACAATTAATAGTACGTTTAATGCAATCGATGTATGCATCATCAATTACTTTTATGCGAAATTAGCGGGATATTATAACGCTTCCGCATTCGTGAATTCCCGAAATTCCACATGTGCGTAACGTCGCCGGTGTCGGCGGAATTAAACTGTACTGCAGCTCTAAATTGTAATCTTGAAATTCTACCAACTAAATTGAAAACAATTAAATCGACAATAAATTATTAAAAATGAAATTTATAAATATTTTTAAATATTTTCTCTTTTATTTCGTATTTCGCAAATAACTTGCAGTCTTTTTTAAAAAGACATCTCAATTAATAAATCTAAATAAAGAAGTAATTTAAAATTTATAAATTAAAAAAAAATACATAATATATTTAATAAAGCGATGTGCTTTTATTTGCCTATTGCAAATAAAACATTTAAGAGAAATCCAGAAGAACGGAGAGAAATATATATAACTTTTTATTCATCTGTTTTGCTCATCTAGATATACATTTAGGAGGAATCTGGGAGGACGTATTTCAGATGAATGTGCGCGAATATTTTAGAAAGTAGGACGTATCCCTCAGGAAAATGAAGCGACTCCTCGCAACTGTGAGCTGTAAAGCTTTAATTTATGTATGCAAATCCAACCCTGATGATCGTACACTTACCTGCGTTATCGAGCGTGTACGGAGTCCATGCGCGAGGAATGCTGGAGGCCGGGATGTATACAGGAACGCACGGTGACAGGGAGCGCACGTCGCCTACTGAACTCTCGCTCTGTTCTCATCCATTAAATCGCAGAAAACGTTACACCAGCGCGCGCAACTCTGTCAAACACGCTGCCGCAAATTCGATCTCCCGTAGGATTGGATCCCTCGGAAGTGCTGTTGTCCTTCGAGTTTACGTCTAAATAGAAGATCGCAAAATGCGAGACGGGTAAGTTCCCTGCAATCAATAACGATCGAATAGCTTTGAAGCTGTTAGTGCAAGTTAATTGAAATCCTCCGATTTTCTTCGCCATTATATATACTCTGTACCGAGAGATTGACTTCTGCACAATGATCTACAACATTCAATTCCATAATTTCAGAAATAGTTTCCGCCGAATAGTTTGCAAATAACATTTCTTTG